TGTTGGCGTCCCAGAAACAATGGTCTGGCACACATTCGGAACGTCAGGTCGCAACAGTGACGCTGAGCCGCGGCGTTGAACACCCAAGAACGGTGCTCTGGCACGGCTCAAGATCTGCAGACATTAATATTCCAATGGGGCTCTCCCCAGTCTGCAGATAGACACTTATGGGAGCCAATGAAGAGAGAACTTTGAGGAAGGGCTTACAGCAACTTCGTTGGTGGGTCTTGGGTTTGTACTGGTCTTCCACCTCCTCTACCACTCCCTCCTCCTCCTCTCCCTCCGCTTACTGCCCCTCTCTCTCTCTTTCTATCACCCTCCTTCCTCATTCCCCCTCCCTGCCTCCTCCTTCCTCTTTACTCTTTCCTCCTTCCTCCTGCTCCTCCTCCCTCGTCCCACTCCCTCCTCCTCCTCCCCCCTAAATCTCACCTCCTCCTCCTCCTCCTACTCCTCCTCCCACCTCCTCTTCCTCCTCCTCCTCCTCCTCCTCCGTCTCCTCCGTCTCTCTCCTCCTCTCCCTCTCCCTCCTCCTCCTCCTCCCTCCTCCCCCTCCTCCGCCCCCCCCTCCTTCTTCTTTCCCCCTCCTACAACTCCCTTCTCCCTCGTTCCTCATCCCTCTTCCCACCTCCCTCCTCCAACCTTTCCTCCCTCCCCCTATCATCCTCCTTTTCCTCCTCCTCCTCCTCCTCTTCCTTCCTCCTCCTCCCTCCCTGCTCCTCATCCCTCCTCCTCTCTCGTTGTCGCTCCCCCCTCCTCCGCCTCTTCCTCCTCCTCCTCCTCCCCTTTTCCCCTTCCGCTCCACCCCCGCCTCCTCCTCCTCTTCCACCTCCTTCTCCTCCTCCTTCCTCCTCCTCCTCCTGCTCCTTCTCCTCGTCCTCCTCCTCCTCCTCCTCCCCTCCTCCTCCTCCTCCTCCCCCTCCTCCTCCCTCCTCCCTTCTCATTATCGCTCCTCCTCCTCCTTTGCCTCCTGCTTCTCCTCTTCCTTCTCCTCCTCCTTCGCCTCCTCCTCCTCCTGCTCCTCCTCCTCCTGCTCCTCCTCCTCCTCCTCCTCGTCCTCCTCCTCCTCATTCCTCTTTCTTATGAACAGATCCTCCCTGTCGCACCCCGAGGCCAGTCGGAATGGTGGGCCGGGGGTTCCAGCTGAGACTTCTTTACCATGTATGAACCTGAAGCTTCAATACTGGCAACCATTTCACAGATGGAGGGCGGGCCGTTTCGAAAATGTGGCTCTCGCCTTAGCGCCGCGCACATTCGTCTTAAACGTTGGCAGAAGTTTCACGGATGGAGGGCGGGCCGCTTTCAAAAGGAGGTTCTCGCCTTGGCGCCGCGCGCATTCATATCAAACAGCGTAGGCTGAAGTCGGGCCTGTCCTCCTACAGGGGGATTTTCCACGAAAAATAAAAAATACCCCAAACATACTCAAACAATAGTCCAAACATAGGCTGGGGACTATGTTTTAATATGTTTGGACCTTCTTGGGGCATGTTTGTGTTTTTATGTATCGTCGAACATCCCCCTGTAGGCGGACACGCCCGACATAAGCGTAGGCGTTCCATGCACTGATGGCGTATCTGTTTCAAAATACGGCTCTCGCCGCGGCACCGCGCGCAGTAGTTTTATAAAATGTTGCAGGAGCTCTCCGCGGGTGCAGGGCGGTTGGCTTTCAACATGCTGCTCGCGCCTTAGCGCGACGCACGTTCGTTTCAAAATTCGCAGGGGCTTCGTGGATTGAGGGCGACATGTCTTCCAGAATGTGGCTCTCGCAACAGCGCCGCGCGCACTCGTTTTACACGATTGCAAGCTTTTCCTTGAAGCTCATGGCTGGCTACCAGAAGCGGCGTGTGGGAACGATTCAGGACTGTCAGGGCGCGAATCTCTGTCCTACTCCCTTCTCCTCTTCCTCCTTCTCCTCCTCCTCCTCCTCCTCCTCCTCCTCCTCCTCCCTCCTTCTCCACGGCAGAGAGGGGGTGATGGGAAGAGCAGTGCGGGCGGGTATGGACGGAGGTGGTGAGGAGGAGAAGGAAGGGCGATGGGGAAGGAGAAGACGGGGGTGACCAGGGACTCAGGACCCTTCTCTTCCTGCCCCTCGTCCTCCTCGTCCTCCTCCTCCTCCTCCTCCTCCTTGTCGTCCTCCTCCTCCTCCTCCTCCTCGTCCTCCTCCTCCGCTCCTCCACCTCCTCCTCATCGTTCTCCTCGTTCTCCTCGTTCTGCTCCTCCTCCACCTCCTCCTCCTCCTCCTCCACTTCCTCCTCCTCCTCCTCCTCCTCCTCCTCCTCCTCCTCCTCCTCCTCCGCGCTCCTCCGTGGTTCGGAAGCGGAGGCACTCCCTGCCCCCGCCGGAGGCGCGAGCGCCGCGCCGTGGCGGGCCACGTGGCGGGCCACCGGCGGCTCTGGGGGGCCGAGGGGCCCGCCCGACGTCGTGCTCCTCCTCCTCCTACTCCTCGTCCTCCTCGCCCTCCTCCTCGTCGTCCTCCTCATCCTCCTCCTCGTCCTCCTCCTCCTCCTCCTCCTCCTCGTCCTCCTCCTTCTCCTCGTCCTCCTCGTCCTCCTCCTCGTCCTCCTCCTCCTCCTCATCCTCCTCCTCCTCCTCCGCCGGCGGCCCCGGGGGTCGAGGGGCCCGCCCAACGTCGTGCTCCTCGATGATGCGCATGGCCGCCGACAACGGCAGCAGGTCCTACAGGGCAGTTTTTAACACATGGGATTTGCAAAAATATTCAATTTTTATACATGCTTAATGTATGAATGAATTTATGCATGAACTCACCGCTGTTTGTAATACTACATCCCTGCATGTTTTATATACATGATCCGCACGCGGAGCATGTATTAAAAACGGCACTGTAAGCAGGGCTGGACCTAAACGTTGTTTCCGTAGTTTGATAGTCTTGCTTAGCTTTTAGCCCTGCCCGTGTTCCTGCAGCGCCCTGCCAACACAAAACACAAGACACAGCCGAAGTCCAGCAAAACAGCGTTTTGGTCCAGTCCTGGTCCTACTAAGAGGGAACGAACCCAGAGCCAGGCTCGCGTCGTGATAACATCGGGACCGGAAGTCTTTCGGCCGTTCTGGGCCCTTCTGGGCCCTCACTGGGCCCCAGGGCCGTCAGAAGACGGCCCTGGTCCTGGGGAAAGGGTCGGGACTTCCGGGGACCCCGCGCTGAAAAATCTGGACATCGCATGTCTGGGAGAGAGAGAGAGAGAGAGAGCCACTGCGAGCCTCGGCCAAGAATAGCTTCCCGGGCCTGGGTAGAAGGACCGGCTCTCCGGACCATTTTTTTTCTTCACGGAGAACCTTCTCGGCGGCGAACCTCTCTTAGAAGGACCGGCTCTCCGGACCGGAGCCCCTCCTGAGCCCGAAAAATGGTCGTCATATCTCAACGTCTTGGCTGTACGCTCGAGGTGCCCACCCCCATCTGGGGGGGTGGGCTATAGTGGGGTTGCGAAAAGATGCCATGGCCCTGTGGGGCGGCCAGGGGCCCTAATTAAACTGCACACGCCCCAGGAACAGCGGCCAAGACGGAGGGCTAAGGGCAACTCCGCTCAAAATCGGTCCCTGGACCCCTCCCCCCTCCCGGGGTTCCTCTGGTGCAGCTGGCCACCCCCAGATCAGTTTGTGACGGTCCCAGGGTCCGAAAATGGCCCCCCCCAGAGACTACAGAAGCCCAAATACCTTCCCGAACCCAGCACCTTGAACCTCGCCCCCGCTTCCTGCTCGCCAGAACAGGTGCTAAATCATCTCACACCCACATCTGAGGGGGAACGTGAGCGAGTTACTCGCCATCGCTCGGACGTCCATTCCGCGTGCATGTTTCGGTTTCGTGCGTGTTCTTTTTGCCCGATGGTCCAGGATGGTCCTCGATGGTCCGTCCTCGCCGAGAAAAAAAGCACACGTCCGAGCGATGCCAAGGTGAATCACGAGCGGCGGCCATGACCGTATCCGCGCGCTCGCGGCCTGGACTCCAGGGCGCGGTTCCGCGGACACGCGGTCGCACGGCTGCGCTCCGCGCGAGGCGTCCACGAGAAGACGCCCCGCATCCGCGGGAGCCCGGTCCAGGGGCCCAGCCCACGACGCTGTGGACACGGATTTGACGAACGGGCAACACACACCCATACCCATAGGGGGGTCGTTGGGAGGAGGACTGGCTATGGGTATGGGTGCGGATTGCCGGACCCTGGGGAACGCTCCCGTTCGAACGGGGACCCCCATCCGACAACACGCACCCGTAGCCCTCTCCGAACCCCCTATGGGCATGGGTGTGTGTTGTTGGCTCGTCAGGATTGGTTTTCGCCCACGACTTAGGAGCGGCCGGCTCGGCTCAGGGGCCGGGGCGGAGGGGGGGCCGAGCGAGCAGAAATCGGCGGTGTGCCGCCGACAGATCGGCCACTCGGCCACAGACCCCCAGAGCAGAGCCCCGCGCTCCTGGGCGTGCTGGCTGCCTGCCCCCCTCCCCTACGATGAACGTCTGCCCTCGGCTCAGGGGGCGGGGCGGAGGGGGGCCAGGCGAGCAGAAGTCGGCGAGGCGCCGCCGACAGCTCGGCCACAGACCCCCACCGCAGAGCCCCACGCCTCCTGGGCGGGCTGGCTGCCGGGCAACCCTCCCCTATACGAGGAGCGTCTGCCCTCCCATGTCATCCAACGCGTTGGACATCCCCCTCGGAGGTCCGAGCCCCCGCCGTCGATCGCCAGCTATACAGCCAAAACGTATGTCTTGCCATCGCTCGGGCGTCCATTCCCTGTGTTTTTTCCGGTGTCGTGCGTGTTTTTTTCGCCAGATGGTCAAGGATGCTTCTCGATGGCCCTCGCCGAGAAAAAATGCACACGTCCGAGCGATGCCAGGATATTAAGGACGCGTGGTAAGGACGCAAGACCCTTGGAGGCTGAAGCTGGGATCTTTTGGGCGGCGGCGACCAGTGGAAACGGCAAAGGACGGGCCACAGAGGCAAGGACACAAGGGTATCCTAGATGAGGGCGCGCGTCCTTACCAGGCGCGTTGACTGCATGAT